AGCAAAGGGTCAACTCGTTGTACTCCAAATTCGACGTAGAATCCGAAAATGTAGAAAAAATAGGGGGTCCCTATTTAAAATAACAAAGTTGATGGCTACTTCCGGTATTGGAAGTGGAAGTGGCGCCATCTTAAAAATATTTTAGTTCAATTCATCACGTGCCAAAACCCTTAAAGGACTTATCAGTTTAGTATCATTTTCAAAGGTTTTCCATATCTTTCTAACTGATGCTCGTCAAGAATGACCCTGTATAAAACAGTCGGAGTGCCGCCACCCTTATGAATTCACCTTGCTCATGGACTCATGGTGTGTAATAGAACACCATGACCTTGCTCGAGCACATTATTTACGACTGCACTACATGAGCGAATTTTAAAACACTTTCTTTGCATAATTTTCACGAAATGAAAGCGCCTGGTATACATTTATCTTTATATTTACAAATCACTGATACTCGCATTGATATGTCATATTTAATAAACATTTACTACATTTGCTCAACATTTGCTACATTTGCCCAACATTTGCTACATTTGCTCATCATTTCCTCGGGACTGTACACCACATTTGCCCAGCGGTCAACCCCTCGCATATAACTAACATTTTCTGCACTGTCGTTTTATACAGAAAGGTATGGGTGTAGTAACCTCGGTAATAACTGCACAGGTCTTGTGCAGATAAAGCGCATTTTTTTAACCGAAAGAAGGGCAGTAGTTGGTAGAAAACGGTTCCTTTCGTTGAGACCTTTCATTAGAGTACCATGAAGGATACAACTAGTCCCCCCTCCTCCCACCGTACTTTGAGGCCCCGTCGCTCACTGATCTCGAAAAAGAGTCACACGGGAAAGTTATAGTTTGTACAAACCAATATATTTCGATGAGACCTCTCATTAGAATACCATGAAGGGCAGAACATGTGTTTCCATTAGAATACCATGAAGGGCAGAACATGTGTTTCCCCCCCCCCCCCCTTTTCTAAAGTTTAACTTGGCGAGCAATTGGTTGTCGTATATGTAAAAGTTATGCACGTTTTACTTTCAAAAACAGCATCTCAGGAAATAATTCGGGGGGGGGGGGCTTTTATACAGCGAAATTTAATGGCCGTCTGGCACACCTTCAAGGTATAGGCTACCTACTGCAAAAAATTCCAGGACCATTCCCTTAGAAATAGTTCAAAACGGCTGAAGGGGGTTCGGACGCACGGACGGATAAAACGCAAACAATAGCACATTTTTTTAATTCCTAAAAATGCGCTAAAAAAGCTCAAACGTAATATAATGCAAAATTCGAGTATGTACACCTAAATAACTTCTATTAGTTTTTTGTGTGATGTTTTAAAAAATAGGAGAGATTCTTGCAAAAACAAATTATGCGATTTTTTTTAAATAGGGCGGTTGCCACATTACTATTTCCTATTTGAAAACCGCCAAAACGGTAAAGCATAATCAAAGTCACTTGGAAAACCGTTTTTCAATATCTCTACGGATAAAAGTCATTTCGAGAGTTATTCCCTCGGTTATTCCTATAGCGCGTTCGCACTTCCAGATGCAGTATGGTGCTTATGGACATACATTACATGTTTGCCAAACGTGACAATTAATGACAGCACAAGGAGATTATGTTTTGTTTTAATATATAATCATATGTCAATTTGACATCAATGCGGTTAGAAACGAGGATAGTATTATGGAACAATGACGCAAACTAGTAATAGGGGCAATTAGTCCATAAGACCCCATACTGCATCTGGAGGTGCGAACGCGCTATGGTTAAACATTGGAATAGAGACGCCATGCACAATATATCTTGCCCGCAATCATGATGGAAGGTTTTTAAGATCTTCCTCGTGTCCATCGAGACCTCGATCGAGACAATATGTTTCTCATTTTTCCAACGAAATTGGTGACTTTTTAGGGTATTTTTTAAAAATTAAAAAAAATGTGCTATTGTTTGCGTTTTGTCCATCCGTTCGGACCCACTTTTACCGTTTTGAAGTACTTCTAGCTAGGGGAATGGTCCTAGAGTCCTGGAATTTTTTGCACCTTGAAAGTGTGCCAGACGGCTATCAAATTTCGCTGTCTAAAAGGCCCCCCCCCCCCACGAATTATTTCCTGAGATGCAAGAGTTGTGCACAATTTATACTTTTTTCACTATAGCAACGTGACCTAAAAGAAAGCAAAATAGATTTTTCTTACATTAACATACATTGGTTTCCTTATGCACCACACAAGATTTGAATCATTGATTTGATATTCTGAGAGAAGTCGTTATGGAGATATCGATGGATACACAAAACCTGCAACTCGATCGCCAGTGTTCGCAAATCCCTTGGTATTCCTGTTCGGTATTCTCAGTTTTCTAAATCACATATGGGTATCTCTATCTAGGCGGAATTCGAAAATGTTGGCGGACTCGGCGGATTTGCAAAGCAATATGGATCTGGTAGATGTGCGATTATATCTCGGATTATATCAATGAAGCGCTGACGTTATCCATGGATGTCTAACGAATATCTGATATTCTGTGTTTTTCCGAAATTATCTAGTGGATATCTGAGAGGATATATCTCGGGATATATATAGTGTACAAAATTCTATCTGAGATTTCCCCCTCGTTGAATATTCTTATTCTATATCGAAAAATACCTCAAAAAATACTAAACTTTTGTGGGAAACGTTTTTTTCCTACACTTACCATTTTTTGACGACACTCTTCTAAAAACGCGATTTTTGGTTTGAGCTAGGAAGCTTGTTATGTCAAGAATTTCCGAGAGACTTTTGTACACTTTTTTGTTAACAAATTATCTACAAAGGAGTCATGCTCGAAGTCAGGTATGCTTAGTTCCTCGCCAATAAAGAAAACTGCCAGTTTCTGTCCGAAAAATTAGGACTGCCGCCCACAAAGTGCCTTTAAAAGGTTAAATCAATTTTCTTGATGTTTCTTGCGAGGCAATGTGCAATAGATGTTTTTCCTAAAAATGAAACTTTCAACTTGCAACTCTAAGATTGGACATTCAAAATTAATCTTACGTTTTGTGTCATTCGATGGTCATTTGCGTTAAAAAATTCCAACTGCACAGAAATAAAAGAGAAACCAAGAGAGAAATAAAGTATCAAAGGTATCGATCTCACATATATTTTTTTAGGTTGGTATTAGCAAAATTTCACTTGAAAGTGAAATAGAATTGCAGCATATAAAGCACATCTATCACTTCAAACATTTCCGGAAAGTTATTTCACTTTTGACTTTCATGAAATAATTTTCAGCATGTAAAATGGGCTTCAACATTGCTAATTTCTTATAATAGTATTTGATTCCCTCATGAAGAACAACATATTTAAGATTACTTCGACTTTTCTAATTTTATTTATAGGCATCCATTTACTACTAATATGATATTCAACCACGGATCCTAGTAGTTTTGGCTCGAGTTTTGCGACTAGCCCAGACTCACATTTTGGCATCCACCTACTGCCACCCTTTCAATTCAATTTTTTATATTAATTATCAGCTAATTCGTTGTCGAATGCCCATGTCTATTTGGAGCCCTTTAAGAAATTTTAAGCTCTTTTAAAAAACTCCAAGATATACGAGGGTTGTCCAGAAAGTAGCAGACGTTTTGAAATAAAAAATTTTAAACTTGTAAAGAAAATCTATTATTATATACACTAGGGCTACACTCTTGGGCTATTTATCAACACAAGCGCCATTCAAATTGAGGCACTTATCATAGCGTGGCACAATTGTTTTGATTCCAACTTTTATAAATCTGCCGCCTGAGATTTTTACCACTGGTTATTGCCGGCTTGAAATTCGGCATCACTGTCCATGTGCTGTGTTGCGAGCGAGGTCTTCATCGCTGGGAAGAGGTGGAAGTCGCTTGGCGCTAGATCCGAGCTGTATGGAGGGTGATCCAAAATCATCCAAGAGCTGTTCAGTACGGTTGACTGTGTACAGGCGGGCCTTTTCGTCGAAAAACAAAACTTCCACCTCTTTCATTTATAAAAGTTGGAATCAAAACAGTTGTGCCACGCTATGATAAGTGCCTCAATTTGAATTGCGTTTGTGTTGATAAATAGCCCAATAGTGTAGCCCCCAAATGTATACAATAATAGATTTTCTTTACAAGTTTAAAATTTTTTATTTCAAAACGTCTGCTACTTTCTGGACAACCCTCGTATATGGGGTCGCCCGCATGAAAAAATGTACTTAGTTTAGGGTCGTTTAAGAAATACTAAACTGCCCGTATAGAAACCGTGTACCGCAATGGACTCTGCATAAAAATATGCCTTGAAATGTGCTCTACGAAAAATTTTGCCAAAATCAATTATCTTACTAAATTCGAGAAACGCCCCCTGGCGGTTAAACGATTAGAGATAGTTGAATTCTGTTTGCGCCAGTGATTTTCTCTATAAAATTCAGCTCCGGACACCTAGATCTATTTTTTCTCTTTTAAAATATATCCATAAGATAGTGTTCAATTTGGCCCACCCTGTGCATCATCATAATGTCTCTGTACGAAACAAAAAATAAAGCCGCTATTATTATTATAACATTAACAAGTGGTTCGCCTCTCGTTTAGAATTATTGATGATCTTTTAAAAACTCTGAAAAAGTTCACGGAAGTTGGCACCCCCCATGGTCCACATTTTGGAAAGTGATTTTTTATGACATCATCACCAGAACTCTTTCTAAGATATATCAAGAACTCTACAACTGGGCCTCCATAAGACCATGAAAAATGAGATTGTTTGGCAACCTTAAAACCCCCACACCAATGAGAAAGTTCTAGTTAGGTATAATTTCTGGAATTAAGGGTTTCATTTTATTTAACACAGGCACTAGATGACGACGTTGGTGGCCTCTGCACCAGACTAGACATTAATTTTTGATAAATAATTCTGAATTTTAGCAAATAACAAGCATCTACCAGTGCCTAGTTACTTTTATACTGAACTTAAACTTAAAATATAGAAATTGTTCTAAATTGAAATTACCTACCACTTAGGAAATTCACAGCCTTTGGTAGTAATAAAACCCAATTATCCGAGAAGTTGTACCAATCATTTAGTGCACTTATGGGATTCGCCTGCCACGTTCTGAGACGTTCCTCCAAAGCCTTCATGGTCATCCTATGCTCGTTCGTTGAACAAATAATGTCCCTAATAAGCGATAAGAAATTTGCGTGTGTATCTTGCATCAACTCGGGCTTATTGTTAAATTCTAATATTTCGATATTCGAGTCGTCCAGATCGATGGGCAAGTTCATCATGTCGATTCCGTCGAGATCTGAGAGCGTTGCCGGCGTCACTTTACCATACTGCATGACACAATTGAGGGATTTGGGGGAAATATCGTCCACAGGTAATGGTTTAGTTTCCGCACTACTCGCACTTAGGTAGGTGTCTACGGGTTCCACTTTGATTTCTTTTTTAATCGGTTTAATGGTAGTTAGAGGTTTTTTAAGTTTTAATTTACTATTAGGTGTCACTAACGAACTGACACTGTCGTAGAACGGTTCCGAGTCCGAGTCCAATTCTGAATTTGAACTGTGCCCGAAAAATGGATTTGACTTATTGATAATCTCGGGGGAGTTCGGCATAAGTAACGGTTCTTTTTTGATTTTCTTTTTATGCGGACTGGGTTTGTGATCCATGTGATGTTTTATTGAATTGACGTTATTTATCCTTCTAAAGCTAGTTAAATCTGTTCTGTTAATAATATCCATAATTCCTATACCGTTTGTAACATACTCGGGATTATTAGCGTCTTCGAGTCGTCGTCTTTTATGTGTTGACAATAAGTTTCTATACGAATCCTCCGAAATAAAGAAGGGATTACAGTTTGGTGTTATAAGCCTTTCTAATTCCAACACGTTTGGTTTCGTCGCTAACGTGCTAACCACTCGTTCATTATTTAAGGCGGAATTTTTAATGGCATTCAGGTGTCTTTTCTGCTTCCTCGATAACGGAGTGGGAGGTCCCTCCGGATAATTTTCGTCTGACGAAAACCCAGTCTCGTCCACCTTCTCTCGTAACGACGAAAGTTCCTGAAAGTATCTTCTCTTAGTACGAAAAGAAATCGGATTAACGTATGACGGCGTGGTGGAGCTCAGCTTTTCCATTCTCGGCTCTACACCGGGAGGTAAATTTTTCACTAAATTAAGCAGTTTATTTTTTGACTCCGTTATGTCTTCTTTTAAACGTTCCCGGTACAATTTATGTCTATACTTCGCCTCCTTCCTTTCCGCCTTTCTGATTAACAGCCTCATTTTCGCTATATCCGGTCTGTAGTGGCCCGCTTTCAGGTGTTCATGAAATTGGGCCAGTGGGCTAGTGAACCTAAATATCTCGTTATTGAATAACTTTGATAACGTGACCGATTTCTCGTGCTCGTCATTTTCGGGAAATGTGGGAAGAAAACTATTTAAATGCTGCTTGTGTTCTTCAGATAGCAAGTTCCATGTGCTAGCGGAGAAGAATTCGTTGAAGATGTCTTTGCGCTCGCATAATCCTTGAGGTAATTGAATACGAACTCCGCAAACTTGGGCAGTTTCCAATTTCTCGTCGTCATCAGAGGAGTCTGTGGAGCATTCGGTTGACGATTGCTCTTCTGATGAGCTTTCAGAGTCCATTGTTTATAACCTACAATGAGATCCATTTAATTTTTTTAAATTCGAGAGGATGGAAGGGCATGACCTCTATTGTCAATTACTTTTTTAAATGTTCCCTCTGTTGGGCTAATAATTCAATTATTTCCCGATTTTATATAAGTTAAGTAAGCATATAACAATTGAAGGTCACCTTAAGAGTTGAAATTCATTTTATTTCTACGCTTGGGAATTTGCCTGTCATAAGACTGTAGCATATATAATTATTTTAGGTATTTAGCCGGGAATTTAACATCATATCAATAAACAATCATGAAGGAGCGAACAGGCGGGGAGGGGACGTCACATTATTTTGGTCTAATTTCAACAGACCTGCTTTTAAGGGTACTAAGTTTTATCCAGAAATTTCCCGGCCACACACACTACTACAAACTGGTTACAGTTAGGCACGCCTGCATTGCGGATATACCAGAGCAACGAATACAGACAGGCAGCTTTGGTAGTGGTGGGCCGCGAAACCATTTTGAGAATAGCCATCAATACTCTAGTGGGATTCTCATATTACATTTTACGTCTTTATAAACCTACTACAGAGCTCTATTCAAAGTAGACGCTAAAATTACATTCGGAAATGACCTACTGAATGCTCAGTTAGATAAATCAAACGGAAATTTCCAAATAAATTAGTAATTAAAATTTCACAATTTGAATCTTTTTTATTATTATCACGTTGGCAGCGTTTCTCAACGAGTTTGCGCACGAATGTCCCACAATCAAAATGGCGTTGAATCATCTTAACCTAACCGTAAAAATCCACCCAGTGGTTTTATTTCAAATTGTAGATGCATACGAACGTAGAAATGCGGATTCGCATCGAGTTATTGGAACGTTATTGGGTCAGTAACTCCTTTTCCACTCGAGCTCTTATTTCATCATCCATGTGTTTACTTAACCCCCTTGATTTACAGGCACCTGTGAAAAGGGTATCGTGGAAGTTACAAACTGCTTCTGTGTACCCCACAAGGAATATGCTGACCAGGTTGAGGCCGAATTAAGTTATGCCATGGACGTTTATGATTTGAATCGAAGAGTAAACTCCTCCGAAAATATCGTGGGATGGTGGGCGACCGGTAATGAAGTGACCAATCACAGCTCAGTTATACACGAGTATTACTCCCGTGAATGCAATAACCCCATTCACGTTACGTTAGATACAAGTTTGCATGGTGGTCGGATGGGTTTAAAGGCATATGTTTGTGTTTCGCTGGGCGTGCCAAACGGAAAGCAAGGCTGCATGTTCACACCTATTCCTGTCGAGGTGGCATGTTACGATCCCGAAGTGTATGGTCTTCAATTATGCTCCAAGACGATCTCAACTGGACCAAACCGACCACGAAGTGTACATCCAATGTTAGATTTGGCGCAAGTATCGGAAGCGGGCTCTAAAATGAGTGTTCTGTTGGAGCAAGTGCTGGCTTATGTTGAAGATGTATTGGCTGATCGCATACCTGCAGATAACGCAGTTGGTCGTTCACTGTTAGACCTGGTTAATTCCGTTCCTCATATGACAAATGAACAATTTTCAGAGATGTTTAACAGTAATGTTAAAGATTTACTTATGGTTGTTACCTTGTCACAGTTGCTTAAAACACAGTTGCAGTTAAATGAAAAATTAACTTTATTAACGTCTGTATAATTCATATTATGTAACGCATTTCCAAGATTGTACCATTTTATACACTTACTATTTTGGTTAAGAATCAGCAATGCTAAAGTATTGTACATTTAACGAGGGAAATATACTGACAGGATAAAGAAATGTATTCCTTTTTGATTAATGGATCCCAAACATAACTATTAAATTGCTCCTAGAATTCATTCGTTCATGCATATTTGTGTTTGAATTAAAATTGTTTATGTAAACTGGACAAATTGCTTTCGTGGATGTGTGAAGACCCTGACTCGCCTGAAAACATTGTCACATAATTTAATTATAGGTAATTAAGAGCATATAGGTTTTCATTTACGTTTAAATTATAGGTATGCCCTTGTGCTGTGATGTGATTATCTCTAACGTTTGTTACCCCTATCCATTTTAAACTTTTGGGGTGCAATTCACCCTCTTCTCAGGGTTGTAGTTATGTAAATAACATTTAATTTAGTAAAATTGACGTGTTCCAACGATTCTGGCAAAATTGTCCTTAAGTGATCAAAATTATAGCTTTCACGGGCCACCCTGTATACCTATACCACAGACAACATAATATACTATATGTGCCTATACCTAAAAATAACGTAGATTCTGAATGACCTGCGAAAGGTAGGAAATCCGAAATAGCTATTAGATACCACTGCACTCTTCGTTGTCAATGTGTGATTTATCTGACATAGTTTTGGAGATAATGATTATTTTTGATATAGGTACTTACCTACTTCTAAAAATTTACGTCAGTGTGTAGGTACAGTGTACGCCAATGAATAAAGAATACCTTATTCATTGGTGTACACCAAGATATATTCTATATATCTTGGTGTACACTGATGAGTAAGTATAACCACATTGCGTATGTATATCTGATACGCAATGCGTATATCTGTGGTACAAAACTGACTAAAAACAAAAACAAAAAACTCAAGACCATAAAATTAGGTGTAATTCCAGCTTCCATTTTTGCAGGGCAGTAAAAATCCATGATGCGTGTTTATGACGTGTGTTTGTAGTGTTAACTTGATACGGATTCCCAGGTATCTGGAATGAATAATTTTTTATTTAATACACTTTTTCCAGACGACAAATTAAATGGTTGCAGTGATGAAATTATTACCCTACTGGGGGTCACGTCAATGACAATCTGAAATCTAGTAGGTCTAATTAACATTCTTGTATTTAAGTATGGGACAACCAATTTTGCGACGTGATTAGATTAGTAAAAATCAACCAAATTAAGAAATGTGGCAACTATTCCGGAAATCCCAATAGACATCGAGGTCTCATTAAAGAATAGTCATGACGAGCGAAAAAAAATGAAATCGGGTGGGACGCAATTTTTCTGGGAAATATGACGTGTTTTTTTCGAGAACATTCTAGAACAGCGGTTCTCAACCTTTTTGAATTATATGTGTCGTAGGCATATTGTAAAATCAGTCATTTTATAATACGCCTAGGCAGTTTATAAAACGCGGGCAGTGTACTTTCTAGAGGTAAGCGATTGGATCCCTTCCTCTTCAAGAGCGATCCCTTACGCATCTAGAAGGGGAAGGAAAACTACCCCAACCCCACAGGTCAGCATTTCACGAAATGACTCCGCAATTTAGAAATGACGGATTTTACAAAATGCCTACGACATAAAACTGCCTAGGCGTATTATAAAATGACTGATTTTACAATATGCCTACGACATATGTACCACAAGATCATTTTTATAATTTTAAGTACCACACCACAACTAAAATACCTATCTAGGTACCTAATTTAATTAATTGTAATTCACTAAGAGTCAAACAAAAATACTGCGCGATGGTGACGACCGTCACAGCCTCAGAGTAAGAAATTTCTTACTTTGAGGCCACAGCGGTGACATCTGCGAGATTGCACAGTGTAGCCGACGCGGCGGGCAAGATTACCAATGTTGCCAATGCTTGCATGTACTTCAGTTTTTTTCAGTGAATTTATTTTGTTTCTTTTATTTTATGTGGTGCTGAATCGTTTTATAGCGTCAGATCTGGATACCTCGTATTAACATTTTATTTGGATTGTGGACATATAGACACAATTCTCTTATTTGTGAAGTGTTTTTTGTTATATTGTAATAGTCGCTGTTTTTTAAGAACGACAAATTGATTGAGATCGTGCGATAGAGCATTGGATAAAAAATTGCATTTCATTCAATGGTTAGAGTATAAACCACAAAGGTGGTAGGTAGAACCCCAAGGTTGGACGAGTGGTCGTCATAATGTCGTGTAAATGTCGAAACATCGTCGTTTCGCTATTAGTGTAACAGAAAAGTAAGGAGAGCTTTTCAGCGTATTTCCATCTTGACGAGCAGGTTGTTACAATTTTGTAATTGTTTAAAATTTAAATGTTTATTCAAGGCTTGCTTGGGGAAAGTGTCTGCAATTAATATTCCAATGGAAAATAGTGGCGTAAAATTTAATTTAGCGAGTTCCCAACACATTTACCTGTAGCATCACAGCATGTAGAATACAAAAAATAAACGGAAATAAGTATAAACATTTGAATAAAAGTCTATCACCAGCGTGAAGCGTCACAGCCCTGCTGTGCTGGAAAGTCTTCATTTAGGTTGTGTATATCCCGAAAATGAGTGTATGGCCATTAGTATAGCAGCATGTAGAGGAGGTTAGATGCGAGCTATCTCGAATTTCTCAACACAATAATATAGCAATAGGAGTTTATAAGTATGGCAAAGAAATGCAGATATACTTACATGAATGCATCCCAGTGTATTAACAGGAATTTTACACATACATACTTACAGACTTACTCAGTTATTCAGTATTCGATATTATCATTTAGTAGCTCAACGATATTACTAGATACAATCGGGGAAAATGTTGTTTAAATGGGAATTTATTATAATTTAAATAACCAATTTGAAAAGTTATAGTAGACGAAACTAGCTCGAAATCCCTTGAATGAGAGTGATCAAAATTTTAACCGACGGAGTAAGGAGTTCCACTTTGGCTTATCCGAGTAGGCTAAAATCTTTGATTATATACTACTGGATGGCGCATTCTTAATGAAAGAAGAGTACAACTCGTGTTCCAATATATGGTTCCAATTCTTGCAACCCAGATCGCTATAATTTTTCAGTGAAAAGAAATGAGATAAAAGAAAAAGTTTGTACCAATTTGAATTGCGCATGTCAGGCGTTAATAAATCGGAAACTAATGGCGTTGTCCGTATAACCACAGCTGATTCCTGTTTATTTGCTTTATACTCGTACGTTATTTGGGCTGTACCTTTAATTAATCGTGATAATTATGCGTAGTTTTTATGTTTGTAGAGAGAATAGTTCATAATATGCAATTAACGTGAAAGTAAATGTTTACTTCCAAAATAGACAGTGCCGTTTTTAAGTTTTTTGGGGCCCTGGGCCATTCGTTCGTGGAGGCCCCCCTTACCCTCAATAAAAATATTTTTAAACAAAAACACATATTTTACAGCTTTATTTATTTTATACAAGTTGTGCAGGTTAGACAGGTTATTTTCGGACTTTTAGTAGGTAACGCAAAGTTTTCGATGACGTTAAAATCAATTTCTTGGAGAATATCATTTTCAATACTCATACCTGTATCCCTTACTCTATGCATTAATTTTGTTTTAAGTCTGCATTTACTTTA